TTCCTTTATAACAGCACTATAAGCACCCTCATCGAGCGGCGAAAGCTGCTGCACACAACTCACAGTATAAATCTCATGTCGCTGAGCCCACATCCAGGTCTTATCTCGACTCCCTTCATCATCGTCTATAGCGGCCAAGAACTCCTCATAATCGATCACACCGTTACCATCCGTATCAAACTTAGTCAACAACTCAGCAACCTCAGCGTCCAAATCATCATCATTGGTGGAGGGACTATACGCAAGGATCGTCCTGTGACAAAGACTTTTTATATGTAAACCCCACCGAGCAGCATAATCTAAGCTCAGGCTAGTGAGGTGAAGAATGTGTCGACGGCCTATGGAATTGAAAGGCGAGGAGAAAATCCATAAACTACTATAAGCTATTCAGGTGTCTCTTAAGAGAATTCGCACACAGCCATCACCAGACACTCATACTCCATCTCATGAAAAGTAATTGTCATTTCACTTCGTTTCTTCAATCAATTCACTGGAGGGACGGTTCTCAATAGAAATCCCCTCCGAGTCTGAGTGTCTCACCTGAGCTCATCTCTGGAAATCGTCCCGTTGCCGTCGATGTCGAACCTTCCGAATATTTCTCGCATTTTATCGCGGAACATTTCAGAGCGCATATGAACAGCCGCGGCCAAAAACTGTGAATATTCGACTTCAAAATCATCCTCGTCGTCGAGAATCTAAAGAAAGTACTATGAGGTGTTCGAACCAACGACCTTCCGATCCCGATCCAACCCACCTGTCCATTTCCGCTATTCACACTTTTACCTAACATGCGAAACACAGAATGCATGCCCTTCCGATTGGTTGGAGCGATAGCTTGAAGGAGTTCAGAGAATTGTATGACGCCATCGTGGTCAGCATCGATCTTCACGAAGCTCTTCTCCAAATCATGCACCTTCGGTATAAGAAAAGAAGACATTTCACACAAATCTCAAACTTTCTGCAAATAATGGCGCTCAATGACATGTGGATGGCGGAGTCTTCCGATAGTGAACTCCGATGAGATAGAACCCGAGACCTTCCGATTACTCACTTCTCGCGACGTGAGCCCCGACGCCACCATATTCAACGCTGCTTTTCTCAACGAGTTGGACATTGCATACCGCCGCATACTTTCCAGTACATTCCAAGGGAGAACTTCATCTTCCACTGAAGTGATTAGCATAAACATGATAACCACATCCTCCAAAACACATCGTCAGCTGCTGCCCGGAGGAACGAGGCAATTGATCCAATTCTTGTCTACTCTCAACCACTGTACAGCGTTCGCCCTATCCTCATTTGAGAAGGGCCCATTCATAATAGCATCATCATTTGAGACAATGTGAAAACTCTTAACGAGATCGAGGCCGACCAAATAAGATAATCTCACCTCCACCACTCGGCAGCACCTGATGATGATG